TTCAGTGCAATGCAACTTTGGAATTATATAGCAAGATAATGCTGAGGGCTTTTGCACCGTACACGGAGACCCTGGGGAGCATTCTTTGGGCTATCAAGTGCTCTCGTAACACTCAGTATTTCCCAGTAAGACTTAAAGACTTCATGGTCAACACATGTCAAAAGAGAGCTGTCTCCAAACGAAGAATAGAGGTTGGTTAGGTGAATTCATTCTTGGGCATCAGTTATTTAAGGACCTGATCGGTTTAGTCTCCACTGCGTCTCACAATTAGATAACACACGTAAAGCTGTTCCCTATCAGCGAGTGGAAACATTTTTCGAGGGACTGTCTGTCCAGTTGCAGTAAAGCTGGGCTGAAAGCAAGTCATCATTCAGAGACAAAAGCAAAGATTTAAATATTACAGAGTACAGGAGCCCAGCACCACTGGTAGGTGGAGTTTTGGATGGGCATATTAGGAATACTGATAGACATCTCCTCCGTGACTCCTTAAAGACGCCCAGTCTGCTGCAGTTAGGAAAGGGTAGGATAAAAATAATTCTGTCTTCTTAGCAGATAAACATGTCTGTACACCTGGCAAGGCATAATTGAGGAAGATCAGTTTACAAGGAAAAATGCATGATAATGAGAAATTTTCTTAAATCAAGGCTGAATCACTCTGCGCCGAAAGACTTCCAACCGAACTGTAACCTGAAGCTACTGGCATGTAAGCTGGCTTAATGTGTGACAGAATCTGCACATAAAAAGAAACTTGACTCCCCAGGAAATAATGGGGACTCTTCAAATATGTAATGAACATTTGAAAAAAAATCACACACAAAAAAGCAGGGAAAATCAACCACTGGAGTTCATTTTCAAGCACCCCTGCATTCTTCCCAAACCCGGAGAAAATGCCAGCTCTTTCATAGCAGGGCCTGCAGAGAACAGAACAGATGCCACCAGCGTTTGCTCCATTTGTTGGATGCTCTTTTCATTGACTTATTCCCTTCTGCCTCGACAAGCGTAGTGGGGTTCCAGGAACACTTGGAGACCTAGTGCCTTTGTAAAGCTTTGCCTCTGTGCTTCCACAAGAGCAATACTTGATATGATTCAAGGAGGTGCTTTTGCAATAATTACTGAAAATGGGTTACCAGGGTTTCACGTGCCTTGTCTACGCAACAGAATGGTAAGTTCCGAAATGCAAAATGTCTGATGTTTTTCCTGTTTGGTGCATAGTAAACACATCCAAAAGACCTATGTGTACTCAGAAGGCATAGGTGTCATATCCGTGAGTAGAAAAAGTTATCTGCTCTTGTCCATTCTAGAATCAGTGCAGTACCTCACTCCTATACACAGCACATGCTTCATTTGACCAGCACAATTCCAAGAAAAGTGCTGGGCACTGGAGATTCGTGGGAGAGCAAATCAGGGGTAGACCCTGCCCTTGGCATTTCTAACGATGTGGAATCTTCTGCACTATGTTGATGTGCTTATTAATCACCTAGTGAGGTTTTACAAGTTTAGGGTCATCTTCACTAGGATGAGGAAAAAAGAAGAGATGAAGAGGAATTTCTACCCCAAACTGAAGGGTTTTCATGTTAATTCTACATGTTAATGCCTGGTTACCATTACACCAGTCTTCAGCCAGCCTCGAAATTAGGTAACAGGTCTTTTACCCGGCTCGCCATTCTTTTCATGATCTCTTACTGAAAGAATGAATTGTCTTAGATATTTTCTTTACCCTGAAGTTCAATGGACTTCACCCTAGCTTCATATCCAAATAAACTGAGATACTTTAAATTATGTTGCCTGGCCAGGGCCTTCCCTGTCTAGAGAGATTCTGACCTGTTGGCTTGGGTCTTGGTAGAACACTCATGTTTCCCAAGTTTCCAAGTTATTCTGATGTTAAGGCAGGGCTGAGAATCCCTGCTTCCCCATAATTATATTAAATCATTCTGAACAGAAATTCAAGAAATACATGCATGTGTTTATGTTGTTGTCCTAAAGATTCAAGAAATCCCAGAATACGGCAAGAATTAGTATTGTTGTAAATGAGCCTGCATCTTATTTTAAATGTTTCATTTCTAGTCAGTTCCTTCAAAGAGGGTGACTTCCATGTTCATTGTTAACATTTAGAAAATGCGTGGCAAGAGCAAAGGTCTTGGAATTAAACAAAGTCCTGCAAGTCATGAATATGTTCTTGAAGCTCCCAGCTGGAAAACTCCTCTCTAACTTAGCTGTTTGATCTGTACCCTGGGGGTGGGTGCTACCATAAAGCCTCAAATGGAGTGGCCCCTCATGACTCAGAATTTGTTTATAGCTTCAAAATCAACACTTCTGATGTGTGAGCGGTCTTTTGTGGGTGTGCAGATTGCTGAAATTTTTGATCTTTCTTGTGCTCACCCTCCCAACTGAGAGCCACCAAGGTGATATCCTGCCATCTCCTTTTATTCTCTCTGCCTTTTTCTTGGTCTATTTAAGTGTCACTTGTTTATCCTTTTGTTAGTATTATTATTATTTTTTAATTATCTCACACTTTTAAGTGGCCTCCAAAGACATCTTCCCTTATGGAGAAAAATATATTCAATGGGTGAGCTCTGTTCAAGCCTAAATTATAGTGTTACTGACTAGGATCCTCCCGTTTACTTTAGAATGTTAGTGAAATTAAGCAAGATGGCTTTAAACAAAAACATGCTGGGCTGGGGGATTTAGCTCAGTAGCATAAGCACCTGCCTGGCAAGTGCGAGATTGTGAGTTTAATCCCTGGTATTAAAAAACAAAAAGAAAGAAAAGAAAGAAAAAGAAAGCATAAAACAAATTTATGTACAAATCTGTTTAAAAAATGTGACCAGAATGTCACAGAAGCCTAAACCTGTGTTTCCCCTAGAAGTAATGTTTAGTGGTCACTAAATCAGCATTTGTGGTGACTTTATAGAATGTAACTACTGTGAATCATGACAATAGAATATCCAGGGTGTTTAGCACACTGCCTGGCATGCAGTTCTCGCGAGAAAGCATTGGTTTCTACGTCTTTCTTATGCGTTATCTGGAATTTCTTTGAGAATTATCTTTTCCATCCAGATACCACTAGACATACTGATTCTATTTACAGTAAAAGTTTCAGTGTTTCCTAGTCTATCAGGGCCATTCCATGATGAAGCTGTTGCTGCTCAGAATTGAGTCTTTTGGAATGGGCTGGATTCAAACTCAAAACTGGCTACAACCAGCTGGAAACAGCAGCAGCCACCCAGAGCTGAGTGTGGGTCACAAGAACCTCATGCCACACTCGTGCCCTGTCCCCTGGGTGGAGGGAGCCCCTGGATGAGAAATCCTAATCTGGCTTTTCACCAACAGCCTTAAGACATGCAGAAGAGAGGGCTCAGCATGTTGGCCTCAGTGAGACGCAGACACAGGAGTAGAGATGACTGTGTACTCTGGTGTTGGAAAATACAAGGGAGCAAAAGGAAGGCAGGTGACGGCCACACACGGCAGGGCAGCCAGCAGCGCTGTGGAATGCGTGCTTCCCTCGCTAGGCTCCTCTGGGCAGAAGAGCTGCAGCCTCTGACCTGATCAGAGCATGCGAGAAACGAGAGGGTTCGACGTGTCTTCTTCTGATGAGAGGCAGGAAGGCAGGTGCAAAATTTATGCTAACATTTACAGAGGCAAACCGAGGAGCACAGGCAAAGGCCAGGAGTCCGATGGGTGGTAAACTTGTAAACCCTCTTATTACAATTAAGAAAGAAAAGCAATTAGGTATAAGTAAGTTCCAAGCCTTTCATAATTAGAATGTCTGAATAAATAAGCAATAAAATTTCCCAAGTGTTTGTAGTTTTATGTACTTTAGAAGACTTTTATGATTTTCTCAAATTCATTCCCAGGCATTCCGAGGGATTTTCGCCCCGGATTTTAAGTACTATTAGTGTTATCATGAACAGAATTCTCCCCATTTTAATTTTGAAATACAGATTATAAACATATAAGCAAGATAGTTTCTGTGTTTCCCAATTTCTTTATTCAATTTATTTTCAATTTAATTCAGAAAGAGAAAATACATGCAAAAATATGCATGCTCTCCTTTCTCAACGTTTATACTTTTTATTGAGCTAAGTAAGTTTAGGGCAAATTTTTCATAGAGAAGTTTAATCCATGTAAAGAAAGAGGGGCTTTATTTCCTCACCATGAACTTAATATCATATCTCTATTTCCATTAGAGCAGTGATACTTGGTTGGTCTGAGACAGACATATGTATGATGGAATGAAGTGTTCTGCTTTCTGATATGTATTTTTGACTTTCCACAATTTAAAGTTGCTGAAGTTTATTTATACTTTTCCTGATCTATCCCTCAGTAATTCCACACACTTACCTTTGGAAGAACAAATATAACTAATCATATTAATAAATATGCTAAGCCATTCTGGGCGGGAGATAGGAATCTACATGGTTTTGATGTATTGTAATGCACTCTCTGAATTCTTTGACATAGTTGCTTATTATGATAAAAATATTTTAGCAGGAAAAAGAAACATGACTACATGAGATATAAATGCGGGTTATAAGATGCATCTCAGTTTCAAAAACATTGAATCATAGAACTCTGTATAGCTTAGAATTAAAGAAGATAGAAGACTCTTAACTCTTGAATTTTAATTTTCAGACATTTACTTTTAATTTTAGCAAAAATATTCATGAATGGCATTGAACAAAGCTATTTCTGTGCAATGTTCAAGTTGCATTCATTGTACAATCTTTACATCCCCCAGCACACGTGTGCACACCAAAGATTCAGCCCACTATTTCCTAGCATCTCTGAGGACATTTTATGTAGCTGTAACATCAGTGTGGTCACAACCATCTACATAACAGCAGAAATCTGTGTTAAAAGATTGAATTATATAAAACACATTCTGTATAGAAGGCATAAGAGGCCATAATTTAACTTCTCTAGATATAAAAACACAAACACACATACAAATGCAATGGTTGAGAAAATACAAGAGGGAAAAAACACTTTCACAACAAAAATAGTAAGAAATTCATATTTATTATTATTAACAAATTATTTTTAATATTAATTTCACATGATTTTTTTATGAAGAAAACTTTAAAATGCTACTAAAGAAAACAAAAATCCCCACTTTATTCTTGAACAAGAGACAGCAGAGCTGTGACGAGGTCAGTTTGCAAGCTAATGAGCTGGATGGAATCCAGATTAAAATACCAGGGGAATATTTTAAATTAGAGAAGCAAATTCTAAAGTTATCTTGGAAAAAGTGGCACATGGGATTAGTCAGAAAGCTTGTAAAAATAGAAATAATAGCTGACATATGAGTCAATTATTACAAATAGTGTATTTTTACACTAAACAGGTTGGTACCAGCACATTATACACAAATAGGACAGTGAAATAGAAACTTTAGTATATCGTAAGGTTACCATTAAAGTCAGTGGTCAAGGTTCAGTGACACAATGCCTGTCTGACAACTGCAAGGTCCTGAGTTCAACTCTTGGTACCAAAAATAAGTAAATAAATGATAAATTAAATAACATCAGTGGGCAAATGGGAGGTTTTGTTTTTTAAATTGTATCAGGAAAATTGGGCAGCCATCTGTAAGAAAATAAAGTTATATCTGTTATTAAATACTGACAGATTCATGAATCAAATCTTTAAAAAAGAATACTAGATAGGTGTTGTGTTTACTTTTACTGTTGACAAACTTGGATGGGGAGAGTTTTCCTTGGTAAATAAGCAAGTAATGGTGGTAAATGTGATTGCAAAATTAAAAATCTTCATGTGACAAAAATATATTTTTATGAGAACAAATGACAAATACGTATTTGCAGGAATGCACAGGAGTGATTTCCTTTACATCTAAAAAGTTCTTAAAATTCAATAAAGGAATGGGCCAAAATCACGAATATATGCTAATCATGACAGAAATATACCAATGGCTTAAAATATTAAAAACAATTCACTCCCATGATTAAAATGTAAAAATTAAAATAACAAAATATTACCTACGAGTTACAAAAGTTTGATAACACCTGCTGGAAGCGGACCCTCTCATTTGATTGGATGAATCTCCTTGGCAGGGTGACTTTGAAGGGTGACCCGTGTTACCCAGAAACTGTTTTGTTTAGGAATTTGCATGAGACACGTAATTACTCATGTAGAGCTAGGTGTGGTGGCACATGTCTGTATTTCCAGCACATAGGCAGCAGAGGCAGGAGGATTGCCATGACTTTTCAAAGCCAGCCTGGTTACATAATGAGTTCAAGACCAGCCTGAGCTACATGGTGAGAGCCTGTCTCCAAAGCCCCCTGCAGTACACATGTAATCAAATACAGTGACAGTGACAATGGTTCCTGGAGTTGAGCATCAATATAGACCAGGCTTTATTCTAAGGACTCTCATATAATATGGATTTATTATCCACACAAACACCCTAAAACTAACACTTGAGAAAGTAACTGAGTGACTATTAGTTCCAAGTAGTGGAAAGACTGTTCATATCTGGGTTAAACAATTTTAAATGTATTATCTCATTAGTCAAGGGTGCTGGAGATAAGAGATTCCACCCACAGATCGGCGGTGCAGGTCAGTCTCTGGGTGCTCATTGGTGACCTTGCAGCTCCTATTACCTACTCCACATGGTGCCAGTGTGGCTGCCACAGCTCTAGCCATCACAATCTCACACGTGATAGCATCAGACTCAAAAGTCCTTGTCTTCTGAACAGAAGCAGAACTCTTTCCTGAAGCTTCGCCTAGGATACAGCCACGGGCAGTCTTCACAGGCAGAGAACATGAATAGCAGCACATACTGAGCATTGAATAATTCCCACGCACTGCTCTGAGTTCTCCATGCCCAGTAATTCATGTCATCTTCATGGCCTCATTTATAGAGCAGGCATTGCTGTCTCTGAGGCAGGGTTTAAGGACCCTGCCCAGCATTTTAGAGGTGATAAAAGCTGGCCCCAGAATTCTGGGCAAGCCCAACTGTAAACGCACCACTAGTGGCACTACGTGGGCTGCACGGATCTCTAGGAAGGGAGAGGTCACTGCAGCCCTGCAGACTCCAGTCACTCTTTTGTCTGCCATGGCTAGGGCAATACTGGCCTTTCCTGTGCCCCCCCCCCGCCCCAAACGAGTCCGGATCCTGAAATTAAAAAGGAGGGAATAGTTGCTGGGTAGCGAATTACAAGTGTTTGCCAGAGAAAATACAATTATTACCCTCAGCCGGCAACTAATGGAGCAAAAGCAGGTGAAGCCATTTGCTGTGGTCATGCTTCTTGGAAAGCGACGTAAGGTATTTCCTGAAAAGTGGTGCAAATACTGAGGTGTACAAACAAGGGAGGCTCAATTAAATAAACTGGGGGCGTTGGCGCATAACTTACAGTGATGTTTTCTATCCTGTATGTAACTCTACAGAAAAATTTAGAGTATACATCTAGGGTGAGAATATCAGAGTGACCCAAGAATTTCCAAAAGACTTAGCAAAGTTGAATTTTTACTGTATTTCTCTGCACTTTGGACAATTTAAGACAATTTAGGTTTTCAAATGCAAATTTAAATGCTTTTCAGAACAACACCCATTGCCTTCATGTCTTAATAAAGTTAACTTTTGGATGAAGAAACACAGTCCCATTTCCCAGGTATCCCCTTGCAACAGAAAAGAGCTGCTCAGATCTGGACTTCCGGTAATACTTAATGTCCCTTCCCTTCTGACTTATGTTCCTATGAAGCCACAGAAAGAAAAAGGAGCTCTTCTTTCTTAATCAGCTTTGGGTCCAAGGACCTGAGAGTCCCCTTTCCTTCTCCATATGCCACAAAATTTCAGTCTCCACTTCCCCGGGAAAACTGTCTTAGGAGAAATGTAACATAGATTGCACTTGACTCTGTGTGTCTTTGAGGCAGCGTATAGTAAACACCTTCTGCTTACATTTACATGTTTTTTTCCTTTTAGTTGAACAAATGATCACATTAAAAGAAAGTGACGATGATGAAAATACCGATGATGTAATCTCTGCCCTGCAGACTGAATTAAGATTTCTAAAAATCCATTTTGGCATCGACGCCTTGGCACTGGCCTGCTAAGTCTGCGATGCTGGAGATTTTCTGGGTGAGGGGCGAAGCTATGGGAACTGCACGGAGAGCTGGCTTCTCGCATTCTCTCCCTAAGGGAGGAACTCACAGAGAAAGAGAGCCTTAGTGAAAAGCTAATTCCAGGAAGCAAACAGAGGAACTGGGGCTTTGGCCCTGTGGGAAAACGGAGACTGTGAAGGTAATAATGCTTGTGCGTCCAAGAAGAAGAATGGCCAGCTTTGTCCTGAGAAGGTGATGCGGGGGTCCTTTTGTTCCAGGCAAAGCCATGTTGCTTAGTTACAGAGAGATTTTGCTCTAAATGTCAAAGGTGCAGGCAGGAGTGGAATTCGAACCCATGTCCCTAAAATCAAACAACTGTATTTTTTTTTTTTTTTTAAGAAAATGCTAGTAATACTACTCAGACACTCTTGTTTAAGTAGGAGAATCAGCCAAAATTCTTGCACAAATCATAGTTTAAAGTGCTTGGGGTGGTTTCTTCACTTCACCTCTAGTATTCCAAGCAGCAGGGATGAATTGAATTCAAATGTGGTGTGCGGGTCCCAGATATAACCACTCGCTCCACTGAGGCAGAATGCAGCCAGTGCGGCTGTGCATTTCACGTCTTCATGTCTGTCTGCCAGGTCTGGGGAGATTGGTGTGGGAGGTGTAGGTCGCAGGCTTTCCTATTGGCTATTTGTGCAAAAACAGTGCAGGGTTCGAGTGGGGATGTGGCCACCACTGCCTACCACCCGTGCTGGCTGTCAGGGTAAGGTGTGGGTGTCTGGGTCGTGTCTGTTTTGAGTGACATTTCCAAAAGCAGAGCTAGTGAAAGCAGAACGATGGTGGCAGAAGGATGGTTTAGCCATCCATCCTTCCATCCTCTTCTGATGCAAGCTTCCGACCCGGAGGAGCCAAGGTTTCCATGGAACCCCAATCATCTCAGTGTTACCTGCTAAGCACAGTGCTATGGAATCACAAGAGCCTGAATGCTTTGTTAGTAATTTACTACTCTTTGTGTATGTGTTTGTTGAGTTCTGTCTTCATCGTGGGTCCTAAGAGTACCCAAATACTTTTCAGTAGTACCCTGCCCCTATAGGCCATCTGCCTCTGGACATATTTGATCCCCTAAGCATTAATTTCTTTTCAACTTATACTTGAGACAAAGAAAACATAAGTTCAATTCAAGTATTTTGAGTACCTTGGCACACAAACTTTGGATTGAACACGACACAAAAGGCAGGTGACATTTCACCCGACTAAGGGGGTAGGTCCTGGGGAAAAAGTAAGAAATCATTGTTCACACACACAGTCACATGGGGTGACAAAAGCTGTGGCCAATCCAATATGTGTATTTTTGGCAGATAGTTCAGTTGGAACAAAGCAGCCCTGTGCTTCTGCGTATGTGGGTCTGAAGAGCTAGAAAGCTAAATTGAAACAGACTCCAGCAGACACTGAAGATAAGAGCACAGTACTTGTGTCAGTTGTTCACTACTATAACAAAACACTGGAGACAATCAACATAAAAAAAGAGGACAGGCTTAAGGTTCTGGAAGCTTCAGTCGATGGTCAGCTGGATCCATTGCTTTTGGGCCTGGGGCAAGGGCAGCTTATTATTACGGGATCTCATGGAAGAGGAAGCCACTCACTTCATTGCAACCAGGAAGCAAAGAAAGAGGAAGAGGAAGAGTTAGGGTCCCAATACTCTCTGAAAGGCCCCACTTCCAATGACCTAACTTCCCCTCACCTAAGTCCCGCCTCCTACAGGATTTGCTCCCAACAGCTCCATAAACTGGTACCCAAGCCTTTGACATATGAGTCATGATCCAAACTCCAGCAGTACTCGTAATTTATTTTTAAGCATTTTTAATGAAGAAATGCAATGACACATATGAATCATTGAACAGTGATCTGCTACAAGATAGGTACCTAATAAACATCAACTGCCTTATCTTACAGGGCTGTAGGAGCCCTTAAAGATTACACAGATGCTAATACAGTTTCCAGAATGAATTCTCCAAGACCATTGCTCACTGTGCAAATGGCTAATTGTGTTAAATAATGGAAAACTACTCTGTTCCAGACAGCAACATGCTTAAAATCTATAACTCTACCTTGGCCAGCAAGCTGTTTATTCTGACTCAATTCTGAGTCACGAAAACCGAATTACCTTATTTCCTGATCCTGAATTAATCTTGGATTGATCTCTGAAATAAAAGACTGAACAGTTTGCTTTGTTTTGTTTCTGAGGTGGTAATAGGATTGGGAGCTTTGAAAAGAGACACAGGTTTACAAACTGATGCTAGACCTAAAGGTGCCCAGAAATAAAGACATGTGAAATTTCACTCATAGGCTGTTAGAATAGGAAAGAGCTCTAGAAAGAGTGATCATGCTTCTTCACCAAGTTTCTGGAGCTAAAAACAAAGACCTCAGTGCTCTACTGAATTCAGAGAGCCTAAGCATGGACTCTGAGGTCTGCACTGCTGTCTTGTTTGGAGGTACAGAAGGACAGCCCTGGAATAGAGAGCAGTGGCCTGCAGACAGCCAGACTCTAGGGGACTTTCACTGGACCAGAATCTGAGTCTTTTATCTTCTGCTTTAGTTCTTATTTTACTGAGTCATATTTCTTCATCTTGAGTAAGTACATTTTGCTACAGCTAATTCAGAAATCAGCACTGCAAGAGGCCTAAAATTAAGTAAGACTACATGTATTAACGGAGCCTCACAGTAAAACAATTTTCACCCCATGGTACTGTTTCTACTGCCGATATTTATATTTATTCTATTTATAGTTCTTTCTCTGTGTATGACCTACATTTATACACACATAAACACTCATAAAGTAATGCTTGTTTCTACATGAAAAATGTGCTTACCTGATGCTTTACACAAATCTAGGCTGAAGCACGGGGACACCGTGATTGGGTCATTCTGGAAGCTTCTTCACTACATCATAGTAACAGTCTGGGAGACAGAGCCAAGTGTGTGTTTCTGGACTGTCCAGTGGACTCCTAGCACAGGTCCTGGGGGATATCCAAGGTAGTGACGATTCCGCTTAGAAAGTCAGGCCTGAAAATGTGCTGCAGTACAAATGGAGCCATCCAAGCTCCACCATATTCAATAGCGAGGCACAGGCGAGCCTAGCTACAAATGCATCTCAGAGCCAACCACCTCTGCCCACCAGGGTGGCACCTATCACCCCTCAGCCTCTGTGGAAAAGCTTCCTCAGCAGGGACGCTGCTCCCTCGGTCCTGCTCTCCGCCTCCCTTTCCCTTCTGTCTCATGTATATAAGGAGTATTTGAAAATCATGTTACATTTCTAAATTAAAAGTCACTTTATTATAGTAGAAGACGCATTGCCACGACTCCTCCTCAAAACCAACACACTTGAAACACACTCATCCCGCAATTCTTGCCACTTTCTGAAGCTTTTCTGCAAGACCTCTTTCCTGAGTGTCTTTACCAGGTGTGACCAAAAATATAGTGAATGTTGCTGCTGAGTACCATGCATTGGAAAGCCAGGCTCGCAAAAATGTGATGGTGGTTCCTCATCCATCTGGCAACCTGGCACCTCTGGCTCTTCCCCCAAATCAAAATGATCAGGACATCAAGACATCCATCTGACAGCACAGCTGAAGACACGAAAGAGGACTTCGGTAACTGCTTCAGAAAGTAGCAAGCCTGATGGGATAAATGTATTAGAGGCGAGGGGAAAGATTCTGAGGGGGATTCAGGGCAATGTGTCTTTTACTGTATTTTTTTCACTGAAACATATGGAATATTTTCCAATCATACCTTCTCCCTTCTTAGGCCTTTCCATTTGCACCATGCCAGTCTGCGGTGACCGCCACTTCCTAGGACTCAGCTGACCACCTCGTTGCCAACTTTCCAAGTTTTCTCTTTGCAAAGTTTTCTCTTTTCAAAGTTCATCTTTAGAGTTGGATTCCGCCAGCCACCTCTGTCTGCTCTGCGCAATGTATCTGCAGTAATGAGGCAGGCAGATGTGGGTGCTGGGTAGACGGATGCCAAATAACTTCAGTAAGCACAAACGCCCACTGCAGTTGCCACGGAGGGGTGCCGTCTACCTGCCTGGCTTCCACTAGGGTGAGGGTTGCAGGTGACTGTTTCCAAGGCTAAGGGGCACACAGGGTCCTCTCTGCCTTTTCTGTCAGAAGCCCTTTATGCTTCCTGGTCTGACGGATGACTTCCTGAGTCCAGCCTCTACCCACAGCAGCAGCGAGTTCCCATTGATTCAGCAAGGTTTGTTCTTTAGCATTTTTGTAGCGCTCAGGATATGAATGGTTGTCATTGGATGGATTAAGCCCTTGTGTAGGAAGGAGGAAGTGCCAACGAAAAGCTATTTTCTGTCCTTCCTGCAGCTCTAGATCACCTGCTGTATTCTCAAGAATGATGTAATTCATTGCTTGATTTCGAGGTTCTGAGTCGTCTTCCTCTGGCCTCTTTCCTTCCCTTTCTTTTCTCATTGTGTTTTTATTTCCTGCATTTCTTCTTGACTCTTCATGAAGCCAGAACAGCAGGTAGTAAAAAATAAGCCCTGATATACGGAGAAGGTGGGATTGGGGTTGAATTTTGGTTGGGAATATGCCTTCGGTCCCTTTCCCCTATAGCTGCTGGCCAGGAAGAACTGGCCAGCGTGAGGTCATGAGCAGTCCTCTCATTCTTAAAGTTGAGCACAATTGCAGGAAGTCCTTTTGGCAGCAGCGTGGTCACGTAGATGCAGAATAAACCCCAGTTCCAGATTTTTTTCCTATCACTGTACCATGTGTCCCAATTAGTGAGTTACTAAATATTGCTATTGTAAAACTAGGTGCTCGCCAATTCTATATAGGTGCTCTTAGCAGCACTGAGATTTCAGGTTTCCAGAATAGTTCTGGGGACATTTTTAACTAGCTGTTAAAGGAAACTTTGTATGACACCTTTTTCTTTCTTTTTTTTTTTTTTCTCAAACCTACAAAATGCTTTTGTCTACAAATTCATATGCAGATTTCCTGCTCCAACTGTGTTTGCATCTTCACTACTGTGAGAGGAAACAAGAAATTGAGTCGCCTTCCTGCACCAGGAAGCTGGGCCCAGACATGTTTCAGCATGTAGTGGTGAGGCCGGTCTCTCAGAAAATCGCTGTTGAGCAGTTGTGGCAGGACCACCAGGGCCGAGAGCAGAATTGTGACATTGAAGGAATGCGCCATGCCTGGTCACCCAGTCTTTAATTGTCACTTAAAAAGAGAATTGGAAGGACAGCAACCATGACAGTGTTTTCAAAGAAAGCAAGCCCTGCTAGCTTGATGAGTCTTTCTAAAAATCAGAATAGTGTAGGGGAGGAGACACAGTAATAGCCTTAAGTACGTGTACCACGGAATGTGCAGGAATGGCGCCGGATTTTCTGTTTCCATAGGGCTTTTTTTCTCAGAGTTATTGAAATGCACTCGATTCTGTCACTACTGAGCCACTTGTGAGAATTTTCCACTCCCTTGCTCTTTCTCCATACTCTTCGCATCTAGGGAATCTGTTCAACACATGAACAGCAAAAGATTCTTGTCCATGTGCACTTTAAGTGGCTGAAAGAAACATAAAATTTATTATCATCACCAAGGCTTTTATATAGCATTCACATGGCCCTAAATAAACTGCCAAGAAGGAAGGCAGCCCATGGAAAGAGAGAGAGAGGGAGAGGGAGAAGGAGAAGGAGAAGGAGAGAGGGAGAGAGGGAGAGAGGGAGAGAGGGAGAGAGGGAGAGAAAGAGAGAGAGAGAGTATGTATGTGCTTGGTGTTTGCCAGGATGTGTTGGGAGAGAACCCAAGCCACACGGCCAGGCCACTCATAGTCCAGCCAACAGTCCTATTAGAGGGCAGCCTTGGCATCAGCCTAGCCCAGCTATCCAATGTGAGACTGAAGAGCCCTCTGAGTGATTCCAGCTCCCAGTTCCCTCATCACTCTCCAAGTCTTTCCATCTAGAAACTATGGAGGGCAATCAAGCCATCCCTACAGTGTTCTGATTCCTGACCTGCAGAATCACTGAGTGCTCTCACAGGGTCATTTTACACTTCAACATCTGGGGGTGGTTTGTTGTGGAGCAAGAATAACTGGGGCAATCACTGTCATCAAGTTCTGATTTTTCCGAAACAGTAAATGACTGTGCGGAACAGTTTACAAATGCTCTGAGCACGAGATCGTTAAGTTCTGCAGGGAGCCCTAAGTATCCTCTAGCGTGCCAGGGCTCACACCTCCTAGAGGGCCAAGTGAGCAGGTCACATCCTTCAGTGTCTGGATCCATTTGATATAAAATATTATAAATGGGTGGTTTATGGATAACAGAATTTATTGCTCACAGTTATGGGGAGTCCAGGGTCAAGGTGCCAAAAGATTTAGCATCTTGCTGAAAGTTCAATTCCTGCTTCATAGATGGCCATAGAGCTGATCTCAAAACCTCTCAAAGACTCTATCTCTAAACACCACCCCATTAGGAACTGGGTTTCAGCCTAGCAATTTTGAGGACCTAGAGATGTTAAGTCTGCAGAGATGATCTCAAGGAGAACCCAGAAGGCTCAGTACCCATGATGCTGAGGGAAGTTATCAGGATTCCAGGGCCACACATGGGCAGGAGCCAAGCACGGACAATTTCCCACCCTATTTGACATTGCTGTGATCAAAATATTCCATGAATATTTACAATTTTTTTAAATGCACTACACTGAAAGACATGTTGCTTTGAATCCCCAGCAAAATCCTCCTCCTTGAGGGCTGGGGATTTAGTTCAGTGGCATAAGCACCTGCCTTGCAAGCAGGCAGTCGTGAGTTCGATCCCTGGTACTGATAAAAAGACAAAAAAAAAAAAAAAAATCCTCCTCCTTCCTTGGCACACAAGGATCTCACCCTTCTTGCCACACCCCGAAGGGGTTCTTCGAGTCCTCTCTCGTGTCTTTAGTTGCATGTGGCGGCCTCAGGGCCCTGAATCAATTCAAGACATTCACCTGTCATGGTCATTTTGACTGTGAGGCAGAGCCAGTGTAGTACCATGCCAGTTCCAGTGAAGAAGGTGAACAGAGACCCAGTGTCTTTACAAACTTGCCTTTCCATAAAAATATTCACTGTTTTTTTTTTTTTTTATCAAAACTTTTAAAGACACTCAGGAAAGAATCCTTCTAGAACTGCTTCAGAAAGGGACAAGAATAATGGCATCAGTGTGACTGAAGTGAGAAGGAGTATTTTTTTGATGGGGATTAATGAAAATTTCTTTGATGTAAAAGACTTTTAAACATTCGCCATATTTTTAAACATCCCTCGTACATTAAAAAGTTTATTCTTTATTTTCAAGTTTTCTTAACCAAATAGTTACTGAGAAATTGCATAAAAATTGCTTTAAAGAAGCAACTATCTTAGTAGTGTATCTGTAGGGTATTTAACTCCAATACTATCTAAAAGTATTTCTTCTGTTAAACACTGTCAACTTTATTTCCCTTCTTGTGTACATGTGGTCTGGAGTTAATGCTGCTAGAAGACTGGCCTAAAGTAAGGCACAGTGTCAGCAGCTTTCAAATCACTTTGTTGGTTTGTTCTTAAGTGTCCTATAAACAGCCTGTAGATCTAATACTGGAAAAATATTAAGATCTAAAAAAAAAATTGAAGTGTGACCTGTGCCAGCCTGAACCCCGCTGACTCTTTTCCTTGAGCTGTTTATAACGTATACATTCTTCCAACGTCCTGGGCATAAAGAGCTGGGTAATATATGGGCTCTATTCTGCTCCTCGCTGCTTGCTCCGGTTTCATATATCTCAGAAATTACAAAATCAATGAGATAAATGCCACCTGCCTCCACCCACCCCCCCATCTGCAGGCTCCACTTCAAGAAACCAGCCACGTGCTGGAACTCACAGAAGGGGCGCCTCTGACGCCAGGGGTGATGGGGGCTCTTTCCACACTTGCTCACGCACTTCCGTGGCCTGAGCAGGTTCTCTTCCTGCCCTTGACTCAGCTCCTTCCTTCCCCACTGCTCCTGGCCTGCTGCCCACTGGGCTTGCTGCTGCCTGTAGTCTGACCCTGCTGGGCTGCTCATTGTTCCCCTGGTGTGGCCACTCCTGGAATTTCCTTCCCACCCCCTGCTCTCCCCCACAGCAGCCCTGTCAACTGCAGCTAATAAATCACCATGCACCTCTCTTCTCAGGCTGCTGCCTTTTTCCACCACTGTTTCCTTTAATATGTGCATTATTTGTAAAAATTCAAATTTAACAGAAAAGCAGCATTACAAGGAACACCCGAGTAGGTTCAGGAATTTTTGCTTTGCTCTCTGTCCCTCTCTGAGTGATTTGAAAGTGAGTGGAGTGGACCCATCAGAGCTTTTTGTTCCTGTAGGAGCAGCTAGTTGTTCAGAAGAGACATTTTCAAAATGCTGCTTTCCCCACTGACACCTTTACCCTCTCACACATAAAATCCTTTCCCTTTCTTTGAGCTTCCCGTTCTATGGTTCTTACAGTTGTACTCTCTCATAGCACTGATAACCCTGGCTCTGGTGGAGCTTGTGAATCTCTGTCTTCTTCATCAATTGTGAGCTCCTGCAGGCCGGGCTTCTGCTGGTCCCCCAGCAGAAGCTCTGGGTCCCCCATGCCTGCCCTAGTGCATGGCATGGGGAGCTTGCTTAGACACCATCACCAAATAAATGCCCAGCTGAATGAGAATAGTCTACCTGTGGTTTCTCAGCCCAGGACCAGAAGCCCCTGGTCCCTTGGCCATGTGCTGAGTCTGCCCTGACAGCCCATGGATCTCCTTGGTCCTTCTCTATGACTTCTGTTCAGAGTTCTTCCCTTGTCCTGCCCCAGCCTCTTTGGACAGAAAAGATGAGGTTTCCTAGCTCCTCTGACGGCACCTCTTGTTTCTGAAGGGCTGCTATTTTATTCCCAAGCCCAGTGATTGCCTGATAGGTATGTGCTCTTCCCTTTCATTCTGTTTGTTCCTCAGCATTAGCCCATACTACTTCTTGTTGCAAAAAAAAAAAAAAAAAAAAAAAAAAAAAAAGTAGTAGTATTTTATAAAGATTTTAGTTTCCACTTAATTATTTTCAATAAATACATTTCCTAAACCAAGTTTATGTTCCCCAGAAAACAACGGTGTTGTTGAGATGATCGCTTTGGATTTAGATTATATTTTGATAATAGGATATAGGAAAATATCCTTGTGTTTTTATTCCATTTTCAAAGAAATTGGTAGTGGGTTTTTTCTTTTCTAATTTAAACATTCCCCTGCAGTTTTGATAACTCAAAACAAATCTCATTATACACAGGCATAAGCACCAAGAAACAATGCTGAATTGAGCTCAAAAACAAAACCAAGTAGTTTCATGTAGATGGAATAGCTGTTCTAAGATTTTCTTAAGGTACCTACCATTTTGATCGTCACTGTGTCTGGTGATGTGGGGTACACAAGAGACTGTCAGAAGCAGCCCATGCCCTCAAGGTTAAGTGCAAGATGCAGGCATGGGTTAGATAATAAAAACACTGCAATGTGGCATTTGTTCCTGTTGCCAAATGTAAATGGTATAGATGCAATCTACAAGAATCACCAAAATGAGAAAAGTCCAAGGGCTACGAGGAGAACATACGGAGAGCAGCCTGGAATTGTACAGTTGAGGGGAATAAACATGAAGAAAAAGTGGCCACTAACATGGGTTGCTGGAAATAAGCCTGGGTGGGGTTCTGGGTACTGGAACTGGTCTGGAAAGCTGAGATTGATAAAGTAGAAAAACAGGAAAGCAAAGTTTGAGTAGTGAAACTAGGGGGAAAAATCCATGTCTTTTAATACCATCAAGGAAGGATCAGAAGGAGCAGCAGGTCAGAGGCTGTTATGATATTTAAAGTTTGAAAACCTGTTAGTGGTAGGAAGAAAATGGAAGACAGTGGGTGAGAAGCCACTCTAAGGCTTGCAAACTGCATCAATATAAGGAGAAGCAAGAAAGAAAGAATGTGAATGACAGAGGAATAGAGCACCCCTACTTCCAAGATCAGAAGTAAGGACATTCCATTTTGTGGACACACATAGATGTATGTTTGTAAAGATAATAACTGCCACTGTATCTTGAGAGTCTTCTGCATGTCAAATAGTCAGCTGATGACAGTAACAAGCATGTATATTATAAATATGAGGTGCCAAGTGCTGTTTCAAAACATAGCATCTGTATGTATTGAAGAATTTTAACACACGTAGAGATATTATTGTCACTTGTCCTTATTCATCTCCATCCTACATACAAAGGGACCAGGGCACATGGAGGTTTGGTGATCTGCTAGCAGTTGGGGTAAAACAGGGATTCAAACCAGGTAGCCTGACTGTAGAACCTGAAGCATAATTGGGGCGCTCTACTGCAGAGCATTCGAGGTACCTTACTCATCACACCTCGGCACAGCCCAGTGACGGCCAGAGATGGGCTTCCTGGTTATCCCACTGCCCACGCAGATGCTGTCTTTCGGCCAGTGCAGCAATGGCCAGAAAATCTGAAGCTTGTTGACTGCAAACCACAGGAGATGACGAAGAAAGGCAGCGCCGAGGTTCTACCTGAGGCTGAAGTGCTGAGGGTAAAGGATGAGGAACACGGGGTTACACCACTATGAAAAATACATCCTGATAATTTTTTAATTAACTAGAAATAATTTCTATTATTGATGTAATTTATTCTATCACCAGGTTGCATTAAATTTTTTTATTGGCTTCTGAGTACATGTATTAATGATATCAATAAAAACGCTTGGGCTAGGTTTTATTTTCCTAATTGCTTCATCTTCTTTTTTTCTGGTTCAATAATGATAATTATATAACATCGATATGAAAATTTCACTCGACTGGAGGTGCTCCTTTTTATTTTCCACTCTAAGCAGTATATTAATAATTATCATCATAATCCAGTGCAGCATAATAAATATGACCTAAAGATATTTAATCACATTAATGATTTAAGTGGCAAAAATTAATCGATATTCAAAAATGTTTCTAAATTTTTTTAAATTGGTGGTTATCAGAAAGACAAGGAACTTTTTCAAGTGGGATTTGTAATGCAAGCCAAACCCCAGGAGCTTCTGATGCCAGAGGCAGAAAGATCCATCATTTCCCAGGTGCTGTCTGAAACCCAGGAGGAGGACTTTTTTAAGTCTCACCAGATCCTGAATGACCTAAGCGCCTAGCTTGGCAACTCTTATCTGTCTCTTAAACACTCTAATGGCCAGCCATCCACTTGAGCCACATCTCCACAATTACTCTTTGCAAAAGCAAAAAGGAACTAAATTATCTGCAAGTGTAAAATCTGTACCCAATCATAAGAAGCCTAAGGCTAAAAATCTGTTGTATACTTTCCTTCTTTCAGAAATAATATTAAGCTCAGGCATATATAATTATACAGGAACCACTAGGCTGTGAAGGATGAGAAAATATAACACAATTATCTCTTCACAAACCTCAGCTGAGATCTGACAGAAATCAACATGAGCTGAGAACACTCCTCTCCTCCCCTCCTCTTTTCCCTCTCCAGTTTAACCCCTGGCTTCAATTGGCGGTCTGCAGAATTTATGTCTGAGAATCTGCCTACATCTCTGTCACAAGACAATTGGGCTGGTCCAGACAGCCTCCTGTGGGAGACGTCACATTCAATCCAGGGATGACATTTGCAAAAAAGCGTGGTTGTTTGGATGCACTGGCGACACTGTGCAGCTCATAATCAGTTGGAAGCCAGCCAGTCCGGAGGACTAAGGCCAGCTCTACTCAGGACCTTGCAGCAAGACAGAAAGGGAACAGGGAGAGGACCATTACTTGGATCTGAGAATGCGGCAGAAATTAACACCAGCAAAATGAGGAGGAGGATAGCAAAAGGAGACCAGAGAGTTAAGTTTCTAGATTTGTCTGATGCTTGTAGAAGTCCCTTTCTGCCCCCAGGAAAACTTGCAGGCATAGAGTATGAAGACTCCCTTGGAGAAGTAATCCTGTTCCATTCCTTACCTCTGCTCAACATTTTAAGCTAGTTTTTCCAGGACCTGACACAGCTGCTTCTCATCTCCTTACTTTATTTCTGGCTCCATCTTTGCATGCTGTCCCCTTGACAGCCTTATCTAGTTTTCTGTAGGACACTCTCATGATCTCCCTTCACTCTGTGCAGCCTATAGGACAACCCTGCCTCAGGAGGAAGCTAACAGCAGCTCCAGGGAGCCCGCCCTGAGTCAAGTGCCTCAGACACCCATTAGATTGAACTCAGATAAAGCAAAATAGGAAACACTTGCTGTTGGTGGTATGATCATTTCCAAGTAAGAACTGAGTATCTATGTGAAAATTTGTTTTTGTGTAATTTTTATATCTATGAACCATCCTCAAGCCTGGTTTTGGTAGAAGGGTGGAAGGCATGGCATGTTGGAATGAAAAAAGTAAATTGTGGTAAAAGAATTGGATTCCGCCATCATCATTGTTAATTGAAGTTACTGGGCCCATATTAAATTGGTAGGTTGAAATAGCCTGGAGAAAGTTCAATTCATGTAGAAAATATTGTCAATCAAAGATTTCAGGATGGATGAATAGAGACATCTAGCACTCACGTGCTCTTCTGCAAAGAAGAAGCAAAGTGACAGAGATAAGTGTTAAAGGCATAGAAAATTCATTGAATAAAATGATATCAGAAAATTCCCTAATTATGGGAAAGACATGGAGATCCATGAACAGGAGGCTTATAGAATCCTAAACAGACATCACCTGAAAATATCTTTATTATGACATATTGCAATGAAACTGTCAAAAGCATGGGACAAAGAAAGAATTTTAAAATCTGAAAGAGAAAAATGCTAAGTCACATTCAGATTTAACCCCAATTAGGATAGCAGCAGTTTCCTCAATGGAAATCCTACAGGCCAAGAGGCAATCAATTGTCCTGGGTCACATTCTAAGTCCTGAAAGAAGATACCCACCAACCAAGATGACTATATCCAAGAAAGATAACCTTTCAGAAAAGAGAAACTAAAGAACCTTCCAAGATAAGCAAAAATTTGACCTCCTTTCCGAAAGATGTTAAAGTATTCTCAAATTTGGATGTGAAAGATAACATGACAGTGTGTAAAAGTTAAAATCCCATGAGAAACACTTCTTTTACACAAAAGAGAAATAGAAAAGTATCAAAAAGCTACCAATACAACTAACCATCAAGTCACAAAGATGAATAAGAGAGGAATCAAAAGCAAAAAATGACACACTGTGGTGCATGTCTATAATCCAAGCTACTTGGAGACTAAGCAGGAGGATCACAAGTTCAAAGTCAACCTAGACAACTTTGTTCAAAGTCAACCTAGACAACTTAGTCAGATTCTATCTCAAGATAAAATCAAATAAATAAAACAGATTTCCTAGATTCAATCATCAGTGAAAGGGAGGAAGAAAGAGAGAGAGAGAGAGAAAGATAGGGGATATCAACAAAATGACAGGGATACATCAATCCCATAGCTTACAATAATAACCGTGAATGTAAATAGACTGAATTATCCAATCAACACATGCAGGTGGCTGAATGGACATTTAAGACCAAACAAAACAAAAAGCAACCCAACAATACGCCTATAAAAAACTCACCTGACCAATAAATAGGTGCTAAAATTAGAAGAATGGAAAGTGATGCTTCAATATGATGATATCCTAAAATAACTACGCCTAATCTTACTAAATAGAATATAAAACAAAAACTGTAAGAGACAAAGAAGATCACTATATAATGATCAGGGGATCAATTCATTGTAAGACAATGATTGTAGATTTATATGTACCTAATGTCAGAGTAATCAATTTTATAAAATGAACACTATTAGACCTAAAGGGAGAAATGATAACAGTATTTCAATGATTCCAATATGATAACAGGAGATTTCAATTCACTCTCATCAATGAATAGACCATAAAAGAATCAACAAAGAAACATCACAATTAAACTACACTGTAGAGCAAATGGAGCTAACACATTATACCCAAAAGTTGCAGAAGATAAGGTCTTTTCATCAGTGCACAGGATTTTCTCTAGAATAGACGGTATTTATACCACAAAACAAATCTTAACAAATTCAAAAAGTTGAAATCATATTATGCATAGTTTCTGACCACAGTGGACTAAAACTAGAAGTGAGCCCTAGAACCTATACAAATACATGGAAAATGAACAACACAAATTTGTTAGGTCACTGGGGAAATTAGAAGTAAATTTTTAAAATTTCGTGAAACAGGATGAAAATACACCAAAAGCAATATGAATTATAGTTTAGAGCAATGTGTGTTTGCATGAAAATAATACAAATGATGTTCCATGTCATAGATGTAATAAATCGATAACAAACCAAACCCAAGGTTAGTGGGAGGAAATAAATAACAAAGACTAGAACATAAATAAATGAAATAGAAACCAAGCAATCAATGAAACAGAATTGGCTTTTTAAATTCTTTGAAAAGATTGACAATTCTTATAAAGCTATTTCTTGCTTAGTTTAAAGACAGAGAGAATAACCAAATAAAATTCTGAAAACAGAGCCAGTACAACTGATACAACAGAAATACAAAGAAATCATGAAGGATCGCTTGAACAACTATATGCTAAAAAATTGTAAAATCTAGAAGGAACGGACAAATTTCTTCACCCGCATGACCTACCAAAATTGAACCTAGAAGATATAGCTAAACTGGAATAAACCTGTAATAAGTAGTGAGGTGGAATCGGTAATAAAAAATCTTCAGCAGAGAAAAAGTCCAAGACCACTTGACTCCTGCATTGAATTTTACCAAACGTTTAAAGAAGAGCTAAAGCCAATTCTTCTATGTAAATTATCACAGCCACTATAGAGAGCAGTATGGATGTTCTTTATAAAAAAAAAAAAACCTAAAATTAGAGCTACCATATGATCATCTATCCTGCTCCTGGGTGTCTATCCAAAGCAATTGACATCACCATGCAAAAGAGCTATCTGCATATTGGTGTTTATTGCTGCACTATTCTCAGTGGCTAAGATAAGGAATCAGGTGAGGTGCCCATCAACAGATGAATACATAAAGAAATTATTGTGTGTTTTCTCCTGGAGCATTATTCTTCCATAAAGGAAAAATGGAACCCTGTCCTCTATGGAAAATGGGTGGAGGTACACATCGTGCTGCTAACAAGCAAAATAAGCCAGACGTAGAAACACACAGATCACATAGTCCTTCTCAGAGGTAGAAACTAAAAATAAGTTGACCTAAAAGTTAGAGTAGAGATTATTAGATATGAGGAGAGATGCTAGGATGGTATCAGGGTGAAAGCGGAAGAAGGGGAGACAGGTGTCATCAAGGCACACTCTGTGCTTCTATGGGAGCATCACACTGAATCTCAATACGTACAATTAATATGTGAGAAGAAAGCATTGTTGATTAATTACTATCTGGCTACAAGGATAACTTGGAATTTTCACATCCTGCATCACTTTTGCCTCATTCACATCTTTCTGACCACCTCTGGTCTCATTTTCTCTGTTTGTAGCTTCCGTGGTCAGGAGACTGGGGGTTCTGTCTGTCTCCCCTTCAGGATCACTTATTAGACTTTACCTTCTAACCCAAAATGCCACATCGCATCATGAGAAGCAGCATGGTTTAGCCAAAAGCAAACTTAGAAGAGGACAGGCCAGGCTTTCCTCAGAATTGAGTGCAAGATGACCAAGGTGAAGTAATTGTAGGAGCAAACCCTGGAAGCCACACCTTTTGTGCTGCCTCTTTGTTGAAGGTTCACTATGAACCTGCATCCCTGCCCCAGCAGAAGTGCGAACTCCTGTTAGTTGAGGGGTTAGGGAATAATTAGCACCTGTCAAATCCCAGGTCTCTTGGGAGCCCTCTTGGCCCAGTGATCTAAGAGGAAACTAATGACAAGCCTTCATGTGAGCAAATGAAGAGCCAGGAGCTTTTCAGCAGTGCAAGATGCCGAGAGGAATCAAGAGGTGTCAAATCAAGGAGTGGCCACTACTGAAAAGCCACAAGAAATGTTCCTTAGATCACTGACTGTGTGACATTATCAACACTATCATTTCTGAGTTGGCATACACAGTGCAGGTTAATTTAATTCTCTGGCTTTCTGATCCTCTTACTTATCCTCTGTTATGGGTAGAAATATATTCCCCTCAGATTCATGTGGAAGCCCTGATCTCTGGTACTGTATTTGGAGATAAAGCCTCAAATGTGACCATATTTGGAGATGGAGCCTCTAATGAGATAATTAAGTTAAATTAAGGCAGTTAGGGTGGGCCCTAATCCAGTCTGACTGGTAGCCTCACAAGAAAAGGAAATATGGATGCAGGAACACCACACACGAGACAAGTGAGGAAACAGGAGAAAAGTAGACATTTGCAAGTAAAGGCAGAGGCCATAGAACATGGAGCCTTGCTGGCACCTTGATCTTAGAACTCCAGGTTCCAGAAATATATATAAATATACCCCCCACACACCTAGGAAGCATTAATATCAAATAGCATTATGATTTCCTACATGTTAAAAAAAAAAAAAAGTAAACCGCATGCAACCTATAGAAAATCAATACGTACTTTGCATGATTCCCTGGCCCTCAGGGCTCAGCCTCCTGCAGTCTTTCTGTTTCACCATCCAGCTCTGGCTTTCCAGATGCCACTGAGCTTCCTGCTGAGTTCAGCCCCAAGGCACTGACCAGAGCTTGGGGAAATCTTCCTGGCTTGAGCTGCCACCTGGAAGCATCTGCTATCTCTGGGTCTCCAGCTGCTGCTGAACGGGCCAATTGTGTGGTAGCTTCTGCATCTGATGCCACACCCTGGGTTCCAGCAGCGCCATCTGTCTTTTTACTTTGCCCTCTTCCACTTTGGCACAGGTAGTGACTACCTAGGGTTCCAGTCTCTGGGTTTTCCCACCATTCTCTTTGGCTTCTGGGCACTGTGAAATATGTAACAAATGCCCTGCTTTACATTTGATGACAGGTAAGTACACAGTACCATTTGTTTTCCTCATTAAACTGTGTGATTTCAGCTTCTCTCCTCCTGACAACCTCATTCTCCAAACTAGCTGCTGGAACTCCACCCATCCTGTCTAGCTGAGGACAAAAGAAGGAAAGTGAAGTAGAATGAAAAGGCCTTGCACCTTGGCTAACTCAGCTCCTTTGGATAAGTCACACACATTTCTGCTTATATCTCATTGGCCAATACTTAAATCACATGACCAGGACCAAGGAAAGAGGCAAGTTTTACAGAAAAGCAAAAACTGCCACATTCCACTTAGTTCAAATTCTTCATAATTCTGACATCAAGGGCTCTTCCATTCAAATTAAAATCAGCGTCTCTCCCTTTCAAATCTGTGCAACTTGTGTATATTAATTACAACTTCCGGTATTAATTACACTGCTCTGAGAATCCCAAGATATTTACTCTAAAAGAAATAGCATGGTATCTGAGAGCCAGTGAAGGGCCAGCAATGATCCAGGTTTCTTACTGTTGCAAAACAGATCACAGCTTGAAATCCATGCAGGTGATCTCTCATCATTGGGTTGCGGGACTCAGACAGGGAGCACTCAGCTGGGATGTCTCAGAGGGTCATGGGGGACCCAGGGGGTCAGTGTTTGCAAGCACCAGCTAAGCCACACTGACTTCTTGGCTGTGGCCTGGGAGCTCTGTTGAGCTGCAGACTTTATTGCATGTGCACAGCTGATCACAAGGCTCAGGTGTCTCAGAGCACCAGGTCTGGCTCCAAAATGAACATCCCAGGAAGTGCAGCCAGAAGCTGCTAAGATCCTCCTGGCTCAGACTTGCAATTTCTAGGGTCACTTGCCTCTTGTTCAGGTGGACAGACAGATTTAAGGATAGAGAAATTAGCTTCTAATCACACTACAGACAAGCACAGGAGGCGGAGACAGTTTTACAAACATGTTTGTGATTCTGAAGAAGCAGACCTGGGGCCCGTTCCTGTGTGCCCTGGTTTCGATGCTCCCCCTTTCTGAGAACCACAAGATTCTGTGGTTAAAGGGCGGAACAGAACGAGAATGAGGTATTCTTTGCAGTTCATTCATGCTAAAATTATTCAGTTTTTGCTCATTGTGAACAATGACATCCATATCTAGCTAGCTATAGGTCCTGAAAACCAAGTCATAGAATAGGAAAAGCTTAAATTGCTAGCAATTCTTATGATGTAGCTTTTAGACGGAGCATGTAAGGAATTAAGTGATTAAAGACATTTCACAAAAGCACACCCATGTTTCAAAGCCGTAGAGCAGCAAAGAAACATTATCATTCCACCAAATTAAAAGCCTCAGAAGAGAAAGGGAGTGTGAACCTGAGAGCCTCCTTTCTCAACAAGAGCCACCCCGCGCACATTAATTTTCTCCTGCCAACCGCAGCTTACAGGACACCCGCCCGCACTAGCCTAAGGTCCTACTATTTTCTTTATTGGAGAGGCACCACTGGAACAGGGAATATAATTTTTATCATAGAAAATTAGAGCTGAAGGGGACCTCAAGGTCATTGTCTCCAATGCCGTGATGCTGAGCAAGGGAGCACAAATGACATATCCCGTGGAGTAGGTCGTCACCTGCGGGCTAAATGGTTCTCCAGCAGGCAGCTGTGAGGCAGGGCGGAGCTGTGGACCAGAGCGAAGTTCTCAGCTGCAAACTAGCAGAGGGCCCCATCCCTGAGGGGCAAAGAGAGCTTATGGATTTCAGAAGTGTTCATTTCATTTCCTTCCTCCCTCCCTCTTTGTCTTTCTTTCCTCCTTCCTTCCTTCTTCTCTCCCTGCCTCTCTCCCTTCCTTCTTGCCTTCCTTCCTACTTTCTCTTCCTCTTTTCCAATTCCTCCCTTCCTTTCTCAACACCTCTTCGTGGATACACTAACATTAAACAGTACTCTCCCAATGATTTCCTCTGGCTCTTCCATCAACCCTAAGAGAAGTCCACGTCCTGGTGCTCCTGTGAGTTAAAGCTTTAGCTGAGATCCCCTAGCCGGTGAGAGCAGAGCCCCGCAGATGAGGGCAGCACAGGGCTTGTGGGTTTCTGTTCTGAACCCTTTCTTTCAGCATATTTTCTCTTTACTGTTAGCCAGATTCGCTCTTTTACTGGCAAAGATTTATTGAGTATTCACTGGGTGCAGGAATCTGTGTGAGGCATCTTATTTATAATATGATGTATTTATGCTCATATCACATGTATGTGATATTGATATCCTATTTTGTTCAGCCTTCCTGATGTTGTTGGCAGTCCAGATGCTGAAACAGAGGTAGAGAGGGACTAAGTGAAAGCTCCAGGGACTTTAAGTTACTTAGTTTGAAGGAGAATAAAAGCCAGGATAACAGACTCAAAATCTTCAAGTATTCCTAAGATGGCTGTTAATCCCTACACTCTCCAGTCGTCTGAGAGAGTCGAACTCCATACTCACATTTTCACACTCTTGAGAAATAATAATTGATATTAAAGATCTGTCTGATGCCCCAGACAGTTCATTTGTGCACAGAGAATTAATGCATTAATTCATTAGGGGAAACATTACATTTGCTGCTGCAGCAAATGAGCACTTAGCCTAATGTCTGTGCTACAGAAAAGGTTTTCTTACCATGAGTGCAGTTGGTCCAAAACAAAACCACGGGTTTGATGATCCTACAGACCCAGAGCTGGGATTAAGCTCTGTGAAGGACTTAATTGCTTTCTTTGGGCAATTAGGCAATTGCCTTTTATATAAAATAAAGGGACTGGGTGACAAAGTGAAAATGGTGATTCTGATATCTACACGCTGACATTGTTATCTATCCATATTTTCTGCCTAAGAAAGATCAAAAGTATTTCTTTAGTCGGGTTCCTCTGCACTCTGAGGGGGTCTTCCGTGTTTTCTCTAAAGAGGAACAGAGAAGGCTGGTCTCCCAGGAGCTGCACGCAGGTCACTTTGCAGCCTTGGCCCCGGCTCCTGTCTCCTGCAGGTTCTCAGCCTTGTTAGAGACGCAGTCCCCTGGCCTTCTCTTTGGACTTCACCACTTTTCTGTCTGTACCCTAAGGCGCTTCACAGTGTGTATTTATTCATTCATTTATTTATTTTTAAATCAGTAGAAATGGCTTTAAATTTTCCCTATAAGAAATTTAACAATATGGAGACACTCAAAGGAAAACTTTTCCTACTGATCACAAATAATATATCTGTAACATTTTATGGATGCCAAACCTGTCCCTTAGCCTTGGTCCTTTTGGCCTTTGTGGCATCCTGGTTTCCACAGAGGAGAAGACCTGGGACCCACGTGGTCTAAAGGATGTGCCTGGAGGTCACCTCCATTAGCTCAAATCCCCAAGCTATTGACGGCACTGTGGGCTCTCAAGCCCCATAGACTCCAGCTTGGAGTCTCCTCCCGTGATCAGCATCTGAGGCTCAGCCTGTTTTCCCATCGTAGAGCTGCCTCACTGGCCCACATGAGGAGCTGGAAGGGGTAGCTCCATCACGCTATGGCTGGATTCGGATCTGACCTGCTCCCTACCGAGTGTAGACAGTCAAGTGTGTTGTGCAGTGCAGCTTTGAAGGAACCAGCTTCCCCTCACCATGACAAATGGCAAAGATGTGCCTCTCCTGCCCCTTTCGTCACCTGACCATGGCAGAACTGTTCTTCATTCTGTCTCTTACAGTTTACAGCTCCTCTCAGAACTGCTTCCCCATTTCCTAAAACCAAAGAGCAGGATGGAAACTTGATCAATAAGTTCATTGTTTATAACAAAATGTGGGTGCTAATCAGTTCCTGCATCCCTCTTCCCAGATAAGATGCACGCATCAAAAAGACTTTCTGCCCTTACACTCAAAGATGTGAGACTAAAGACATGAATGGAGAGACCTGGGCAAGTCAGAAAGCCAGATATTTATTAATAAAGTAGAGCCTCCCCTACTGCTCAAAACACTCCATGTAAACAGTTATTAGATAGCACACTAGACGATAAAAATATTTGCAAACCATATATCTGATAAGGGATTGATATCTAAAACTTACGAGGTAGTCACACAAGTTAGATTCCTTTTATGTGTTACTTACAACAATGAAAAGAAAAAGGATTGAATAAAAAAAATGGTTGGACGAATGTGTTTGTCAGCATAATCACTGTCACTCAATCACTGTGTGACATTGGACACGGTATTTACTCTCTCCAGCCAGAGCTCAGTAATGCATACTATAGCGTGATGATGGGAGACGGAAATGACATGGTCACTAATTATAAAATGCTACAGAATGTCATAAAGTGTGTTCGTACCATTCAACCTGCAGGAGAAACCATCAAGGGGAATCACTGACATTGACAAAATTTCTCGGGGTAGTCAGTAATAAAACCACTTCTTCATAAATGTTACACTTCAAACAGGCTTTTAGGTCCAATGGTCTAATTGTTTCAAATAACATTCAATTTTTATTTTTTAAAAAAGAGTAACAAGCAAGTTTCAGCTCCATAGCTTTAATCTTCCTAAATGTCACTGAGTAAGGGCTAATGTGGAAGACACAGATAAACCCCGAAAGGGTATGCATAGCCCTTGGGGTTCTTCTCTGGCAGTGAATGTCAGGAGAGTAGGTGTCACAGCCTGACCCAAACAGTACCTGTTCTGCATTGTTATGTATGCAGTGCCTGCAGCATTCTAAATCACAGCTCCACGTCCCGAAAGAAAATCTGGGGAGAATCCATGGTCTCAGGAACTGGTTCCCATTGTGGCTCTGTCCACCCTGCCAAGCAAAGCTCAGTGGTTTTTTTATCAGCATGGCTTTTGCCATTTCATCCCCTACAAGCAAGAGGCTAAGCTATTTTGAACCATTGAGTACCATGCTCAAAGGATAACAGAACCCTACCAAGTAATAAAACTTGAGTTGCGTCAACCACAGACTCAGACTTGACAGTAGCTCATTTGGCTAGAGCAGGTCATAGAACCCTCCTCACAGATGTCCACCAACGGAGAGGAAGTCCAACCCAGGCAGACTCCATGCGGGAAAAGGAACAGGTTCCTCAGCAAAAGTGCTCACACCTCTCAACCCTGGTACTCACATCAGGGAGAATGAGCTGCATTGGGAGCAGACTGAAGAACACTGATTATCCCAGGAGTGTTTTTTTGGGTAAACATTTCTACTTAAAAGTGGTGACACCCAAGTTCTGAAGACAGAAAAAGGAGTCACTTGGGAAAATCTCGAAATCCTTACATTTGTTTTGCATTGTAAACTCTGCCCCTGGAAAACAGGGTGTTTTGCATCTACTGTTTTTCCCAGTGTAGTTGTGCGGCTTTACGTGCATTCCTCCCAGTAGAAAGTGAACTTGGCACAATTTATTGTGTTTGTGTTGCTGGGTACCCCGTTTTTATAAGCAGACCTTGTCCATCACACCCAGAGAACAGCTACTGAAATCTAACTAGTGCTGGTGGGGCTGTCGGAGCACGCATGAGTCACTCTTGCCCAGTGGCCAGTCCTCCAGGCCACAGCTGATTGAAACGCGGACAG